AATTTAAAAATTTAAAATAATTTTTTTAAAAAATTTGTTAAAAAAAATTCAAAATTTTAATAATTTATTTAAAAAAATTCTATCTTCGATTCTATTAATTTATAATATTATCATCAATTTCATATCTAGAATCACACATTTACATCCATTTCTAGCTACGACTCTACCAAATAACATTTTTGAATCCTAAACATCAATCTCCTTAGCATTCTCTCCACCACCATTTAATTTCCTGAATACAACAAAAATATTTATCTGCTAAGGAATCATAATATCTATAATCTCCATTAATTTTCCTACAAGAAAAACTTATATTCAAATTTCTATCCTAATTTTAGTTTCATGGACTAACTTTTTGTCCACATCCGTACTTAATGTGGGAAACCATTGCTAATTAATACAACACCCGGGCCATCGGATATTATGGCCCCTTTGCACGTACTGTATCTTTGTATTTAGACCATACAACATATTGCTACTAAGGATGCCCTAGCATTAACATTAACTTTTTAAGGATCATGTAAATGATTATTCAACAAATTTTTATGCTAGATTGTCGACTACCTAATTAAAACCCTCCGTTTTTCTCATCTAGACTGGGCTTGAACAGATGATATGCGTTAAAACCATAATTAAAAAAATATATTAAAGCTATTCATAATTCTCATAAATATTCATGCTATAGTTTTTAAAAGTAATAGTTTTTTTAAAAATTTAAAATTATTTCTATAATACATAAGAAAAGATATAATTTAAAATAGTTTAATTTTTAAAAAAGAATTAATCAATTAAATAATAAAGAATATAATCTTAAATTTAAATTTCTTTTGATTGTATATATCATAAATAGAAATTAAATCATTAATAAAAAAGAATTTATTGAATATATTAAAAAAATACAAAAATAATAATTCAATAAATGCTAAAAATAAAAAATTAAACATAATATCAACCGAAAAAAACTAATATGCAATTTTAAAATTTGACAAAAATAATCTAAAATACTAAATAAATATTACCTACATTAAACATCAAAGCATTTATTAATTAAATAAAAATTTACTAACTTGAAAAAAATTTTAAAAAATAATTACCTAAATATGAATTCAGTCTTTTTAAATTATTTAATCAAGTTTGCCTATATATAATAATAACTAAATTAATTTACTTAAATAATTTATTTAATTAAATAAATGCCTTGATGTTGAATTTAGGTACTATCATTTAGTGTTTTAAAAATATATTATCAAATTTAAAAAGCATAATTTAGAAAATGTAATAATGTTTAATTTATAATTATTTCATGTATTTAATTATTAAGTCTAAAATTTTAAATTAATATTTAAATAAATTTTTTTAATTGATAATTAAATTTTATTATGTTAAACACAAATCAAAAAGGAAATTTAAATTTAAGATAATTTTTTAAAATTAATTAAATTTATTCATTTTACATTTTTCCCGTTTAAGGTTATGTTTTTTTTTTAGGTTTATTATACATTAGGTTTTCTTCAAAAAAACCTAAAATCATTGAGTTTTCTAGCTTTTCTATAGGAGAACTGCGGCACGTAAGATCGAGTGCCGCAGTGCCAAGCTTAATTTTAATTCTTTCTTCTTAATTAGTGATAAACCTATGCACCTTATCATGCATTTCAGCATCTTTGATTTCTAAAAACTTGGTTTAGTTAGTTGTCTCTATTATATGGGATTATAATACTAACGTTAACCATTCTTAGCCTTTTGTAAAATTTCAAGTTTTAAGACTCATCACACTCATATATATATCTTTGTTCGATGCAAACATTATTTTTTATGTCATAAGTTCTCGCTTCATATAGTTTTTTAATTTTGTAGTCCCAATTATTGAGGAATAGTAAGTTAAATATAATGACAATCTTAAAAAATAAAGCTCGACACATGATTAGGCTCTTTGTTTATCTTGAGCCTTTCAAGGCCATATGACTCTAGGGAATCCTCATTTAGATTATAATTAGATTCTTCCCACTTTAATCCTTTCATTTATGATATTTTAAAAACTTTATATTCTTTGATGTAAATAAAAAATAAATGTGTGCAGTCACCTATTGTAATGCTTCAAGACCTAATTTGAAAGAATTGTATCTTTTATCTCTTAAGTAACCTACTAGAGCCTTTAATTTCTATTTAAAATAAAAGAAAAGTCAGCGTACACAATTTCTATACATCAAAATCTTTCATTATTTCTTTTATTAAAATCTAATTCACAATAGCCATGAGATCACTTTCAATATCAATCTATCTTACTAAGCTCGTGACTATAATAAAAATAAAATAAAATACATAACCAAAAGAAACCTAAGGATTTTGATCAGCCTCACTCCGCATAATCATGTTCCCTTTGCTGACCAGAATTCAAAAAAATTCATATAATGTGCTTATAAAGATTAGTATGACCCTAAAAACTATCAAACTTCTAATACGAGGTCTCGAGAATCAATATACATGATCATCTCAATCAATATAAAATTAGTAACTATCAGTATGAACAACAATCAATCACTAATGATATGAACCAATATGATCGGTAGACGTGAAAAGCTCTGATCAGAAATCACTTCTATCAATACTACAATCACATGTAAATATTGCGTCGGTATATGCGATATCACTATCATCTATTTGAGTGTATTTATTATATCATTCAAGT